AGTGCGCCCTCAACTCCACCACGGAGGCTGGCATGCAACACGTCATGCAACACATCATGCAATACATCATGCAACACATCATGCAATACATCATGCAACACATCATGCAACACATCATGCAACACATCATGCAACACATCATGCAATACATCATGCAACACATCATGCAACACATCATGCAACACATCATGCAACACATCATGCAACACATCATGCAACACATCATGCAACACATCATGCAACACATCATGCAATACATCATGCAACACATCATGCAATACATCATGCAACACGTCATGCAACACATCATGCAACACATCATGCAACACATCATGCAACACATCATGCAACACATCATGCAATACATCATGCAACACATCATGCAACACATCATGCAATACATCATGCAACACGTCATGCAACACATCATGCAACACATCATGCAACACATCATGCAACACATCATGCAACACATCATGCAACACATCATGCAACACATCATGCAATACATCATGCAACACATCATGCAACACGTCATGCAACACATCATGCAACACATCATGCAACACATCATGCAACACATCATGCAACACATCATGCAACACATCATGCAACACATCATGCAACACATCATGCAATACATCATGCAACACATCATGCAATACGCTTTTTGAAAAAAACTTGAAGCGATTTCTTCTTCTCTGCTGTATCCCTGTTCGGCAGCACAATTACTGTAGCATGTTTTTTTTCTTTCCACGGCATTGCATGCACTTCGGCCTCACCATCTCCACCATAGAGACCGAGGGGTTGTGCACCATCTCCTGGCTCCAGGTTGTAAGTAGTCTGAGCCGTCTATGCAGGTCGGTGTTCAATCCCCGACCGTCAAAAAGGTTGGGGCACCATTCTTTTCCCCCGTCCCATCTCAAATCCTTATCCTGACCCCCTTCCAAGTGCTATATAGTCGTAATGGCTTGGCGCATTTCCCCCCGATAGTTTCCTTTCCTATCTGCGAAAAAATTAATTACGCGCAAATTTTGCTGTTTAATATGTTGTGCTTTTGTTTAGGGAAACGAAAACAAAAGCCTTCGTGTTTTTCTCCTGCCATTTATGATTTATTGAATGAGCTGATGAGCTTACGTAAAGTGAATCTATCAGAGGTAATTTCGGCTGTGTATTGAACGAGAGGGAGTGAGAGAGGATTAAGAATAGAGAAAATAAGATGGGAGAGAGAGATCTAGAAGAAGAGAAGAAGAGAATAAAAGAAGTAGAGAAAGAGAAGTGGAGTGAGGAATAATGATGGGGTAGCAAAGGGATAAGGGGAGAGAGAGAGAGAGAGAGAGAGAGAGAGAGAGAGAGAGAGAGAGAGAGAGAGAGAGAGAGAGAGAGAGAGAGAGAGAGAGAGAGAGAGACAGACAGACAGACAGACAGACAGACAGACAGACAGACAGACAGACAGACAGACAGACAGACAGAGAGGGGCATAAGGATAGAGGGAGAGAGATAAGGAGATAATGTGAAAGGGAGAACAGGTGAGAGAAGGAGGGATAGGACAGTGAGAGAGAAAGAGAAAACGCGAAAGAGGATAAGGGGAGACAGGGAAAAGAAAAAGACAGAGAGAGAGGTATGTGCATGGAGAGGGAGAGAGAGAAAAAGAAGAAAGGGTCATGAAGAATAAGAAGAGAAGAGAGGGCTAAATAGATTGAGATAACACGACTGAAAGAGATATCTAAATTGGGACTTGCAGAATTTTGCTACACCCAGGCCTCCATAAACACGTAGGCCTATGCCCCCCCCCCCCCCCGCTTCAATGAACATCTTTCATCAATCTAATCACAGCTGATTTTCAGTAATCTCTAAACCTAAAGTATTAATCAATGAATGACATATCAAATTATTATTTTCTTAGTTTATAATAATAATAACAAAAATAATATTGTTATTATTAATAATATTACTTTTATTTTTATTATCTATTTGATTACCATTTTTTTATGTGGATTTGGAAAAAAATGTAAATCGTTCCTAATATTGTAAATTGCATTTGCATATGAGTGAAGCGCTCTGTGGTCTGAGAAATAAAGTTTTGATTTCAGCTTAGCAATTAAACCAACAAAAATATATCCTTATTTTTTGTTGCGCCAAACTTCCGTAAAACACAAATTCCTATTCTCTGTAAAATAAAAAGTTTCGCTTCGAGGCTTCATGTTTGTTTCTCTTAACCGGAACTTTGTGAATTTATTCTTGTAAATTTGTAAACAAACCCATTACAGTTATTACGTGAATATTTATTGTTTCATTGTTTCATGATACAAAGAAATTCCTAAAGGCCATTGTAATATTAAAATGTTTGGAGTAATTTAGGAATTTCAATAAAGTTTTCGTGAAACAGTTGAATTGGTATGTACTTTATTTTATTCTAGGTCTAATTAAATAAAGTAATTTAAGCAATTTAAAAAACTTTTTCAGTCATAGCCTAAATACATTTTTATTGAACCACCAGTTTCAATTGCAATATCTACATCGCTTGCGCTGCGTGCAATGTTTTTCCTCACCTGTTCCACTGGCAATATCGTCATAACATAATCCACTTGCACTATCAACATCACCTGTTCCACTTGCACTATCAACATCACCTGTTCCACTTGCACTATCAACATCACCTGTTCCACTTGCACTATCAACATCACCTGTTCCACTTGCACTATCAACATCACCTGTTCCACTTGCACTATCAACATCACCTGTTCCACTTGCACTATCAACATCACCTGTTCCACTTGCACTATCAACATCACCTGTTCCACTTGCACTATCAACATCACCTGTTCCACTTGCACTATCAACATCACCTGTTCCACTTGCACTATCAACATCACCTGTTCCACTTGCACTATCAACATCACCTGTTCCACTTGCACTATCAACATCACCTGTTCCACTTGCACTATCAACATCACCTGTTCCACTTGCACTATCAACATCACCTGTTCCATTTGCAACACCTTACGCCATCCGTCGCTAACTCGCTTAATTGCAACGTTGCAGCTAACTTAATCAACGCCACCATTGAGGCGTTGGGCCAGATGGCAAAGTAGAACTAAGAAGGTTTATGAGGACAATGAGTTAGGACATGAGGACAATGAGCTGGGATATGAGGGGCAAGTGAAGGGATACGAGGACTGGTGAACAAGCATTTGGACTCTTGGGGATCGAGCGCCGACCCTGCAATAAGTGAGGCCGTCGCTCTACCAACACGTCCAAGTTGAGATTTTGAAGCTTGTAGGGGGTGGGGAACCATGAAGCCTGTAGTGGGTGGGGAACCATGAAGCCTGTAGTGGGTGTGGGCACCATGAGGCCTGTAGTGGGTGGGGGCACCATGAAGCCTGTAGTGGGTGTAGGCACCATGAAGCCTGTAGTGGGTGTGGGCACCATGAAGCCTGTAGTGGGTGGGGGCACCATGAAGCCTGTAGTGGGTGGGGGCACCAAGAAGCCTGTAGTGGGTGGGGCACCATGAAGCCTGTAGTGGGTGGGGGCACCAAGAAGCCTGTAGTGGGTGTGGGCACCATGAAGCCTGTAGTGGGTGGGGCACCATGAAGCCTGTAGTGGGTGGGAGCACCATGAAGCCTGTAGTGGGTGGGGGCACCAAGAAGCCTGTAGTGGGTGGGGGCACCATGAAGCCTGTAGTGGGTGGGGGCACCATGAAGTCTGTAGTGGGTGTGGGCACCATGAAGCCTGTAGTGGGTGGGGCACCATGAAGCCTGTAGTGGGTGGGGGCACCAAGAAGCCTGTAGTGGGTGTGGGCACCATGAAGCCTGTAGTAGGTGGGGCACCATGAAGCCTGTAGTGGGGTGGGCACCATGAAGCCTGTAGTGGGTGGGGGCACCATGAAGCCTGTAGTGGGTGGGGGCACCATGAAGCCTGTAGTGGGTGTGGGCACCATGAAGCCTGTAGTGGGTGGGGCACCATGAAGCCTGTAGTGAGTGGGGGCACCATGAAGCTTGTAGTGGGTGTGGGCACCATGAAGCCTGTAGTGGGTGGGGCACCATGAAGCCTGTAGTGGGGGTGGGCACCATGAAGCCTGTAGTGGGTGGGGGCACCATGAAGCCTGTAGTGGGTGGGGGCACCATGAAGCCTGTAGTGGGTGGGGGCACCATGAAGCCTGTAGTGGGTGTGGGCACCATGAAGCCTGTAGTGGGTGGGGCACCATGAAGCCTGTAGTGGGTGTGTGACCATGAAGCCTGTAGTGGGTGGGGGCACCATGAAGCCTGTAGTGGGTGGGGGCACCAAGAAGCCTGTAGTGGGTGTGGGCACCATGAAGCCTGTAGTGGGTGGGGCACCAAGAAGCCTGTAGTGGGTGGGGGCACCATGAAGCCTGTAGTGGGTGGGGGCACCATGAAGCCTGTAGTGGGTGGGGGCACCATGAAGCCTGTAGTGGGTGGGGGCACCATGAAGCCTGTAGTGGGTGGGGGCACCATGAAGCCTGTAGTGGGTGTGGGCACCATGAAGCCTGTAGTGGGTGTGTGACCATGAAGCCTGTAGTGGGTGGGGCACCATGAAGCCTGTAGTGGGTGTGTGACCATGAAGCCTGTAGTGGGTGGGGGCACCATGAAGCCTGTAGTGGGTGTGGGCACCATGAAGCCTGTAGTGGGTGTGGGCACCATTAAGCCTGTAGTGGGTGGGACACCATGAAGCCTGTAGTGGGTGTGGGCACCATTTAGCCTGTAGTAGGTGGGGACACCATGAAGCCTGTAGTGGGTGGGACACCATGAAGCCAGTAGTGGGTGTAGGCACCATGAAGCCTGTAGTGGGTGGGGGCACTATGAAGCCTGTAGTGGGTGGGGGCACCATGAAGCCTGTAGTGGGTGGGGGCACCATGAAGCCTGTAGTGGGTGGGGGCACCATGAAGCCTGTAGTGGGTGTGTGACCATGAAGCCTGTAGTGGGTGTGGGCACCATGAAGCCTGTAGTGGGTGTGGGCACCATGAAGCCTGTAGTGGGTGGGGGCACCATGAAGCCTGTAGTGGGTGGGACACCATGAAGCCTGTAGTGGGTGTGGGCACCATGAAGCCTGTAGTGGATGGGGGCACCATGAAGCCTGTAGTGGGTGGGGCACCATGAAGCCTGTAGTGGGTGGGGGCACCATGAAGCCTGTAGTGGGTGGGACACCATGAAGCCTGTAGTGGGTGGGGGCACCATGAAGCCTGTAGTGGGTGTGGGCACCATGAAGCCTGTAGTGGGTGGGGGCACCATGAAGCCTGTAGTGGGTGGGACACCATGAAACCTGTAGTGGGTGGGGGCACCATGAAGCCTGTAGTGGGTGTGGGCAGCATGAAGCCTGTAGTGGGTGTGGGCACCATGAAGCCTGTAGTGGGTGGGGCACCATGAAGCCTGTAGTGGGTGTGGGCACCATGAAGCCTGTAGTGGGTGTGGGCACAATGAAGCCTGTAGTGGGTGTGGGCACCATGAAGCCTGTAGTGAGGCACCATGAAGCCTGTAGTGGGTGTGGGCACCATGAAGCCTGTAGTGGGTGTGGGCACCATGAAGCCTGTAGTGGGTGGAGGCACCATGAAGCCTGTAGTGGGTGTGGGCACCATGAAGCCTGTAGTGAGGCACCATGAAGCCTGTAGTGGGTGTGGGCACCATGAAGCCTGTAGTGGGTGGGGGCACCATGAAGCCTGTAGTGGGTGTGGGCACCATGAAGCCTGTAGTGGGTGTGGGCACCATGAAGCCTGTAGTGGGTGTGGGCACCATGAAGCCTGTAGTGGGTGTGGGCACCATGAAGCCTGTAGTGGGTGGGGGCACCATGAAGCCTGTAGTGGGTGGGGGCACCATGAAGCCTGTAGTGGGTGTGGGCACCATGAAGCCTGTAGTGGGTGGGGGCACCATGAAGCCTGTAGTGGGTGGGGGCACCATGAAGCCTGTAGTGGGTGGGGGCACCATGAAGCCTGTAGTGGGTGTGGGCACCATGAAGCCTGTAGTGGGTGTGGGCACCATGAAGCCTGTAGTGGGTGTAGGCACCATGAAGCCTGTTGTGAGTGTGGGCACCATGAAGCCTGTAGTGGGTGTGGGCACCATGAAGCCTGTAGTGGGTGGGATACCATGAAGCCTGTAGTGGGTGTGGGCACCATGAAGCCTGTAGTGGGTGGGGGCACCATGAAGCCTGTAGTGGGTGGGGACACCATGAAGCCTGTAGTGGGTGGGGGCACCATGAAGCCTGTAGTGGGTGGGGACACCATGAAGCCTGTAGTGGGTGGGTGACCATGAAGCCTGTAGTGGGTGGGGGCACCATGAAGCCTGTAGTAGGTGGTGCACCATGAAGCCTGTAGTGGGTGGGGGCACCATGAAGCCTGTAGTGTGTGGGGCACCATGAAGCCTGTAGTGGGTGGGGGCACCATGAAGCCTGTTGTGGGTGTGGGCACCACGAAGCCTGTAGTGGGTGGGGGCACCATGAAGCCTGTAGTGGGTGGGGCACCATGAAGCCTGTAGTGGGCGTGGGCACCATGAAGCCTGTAGTGAGTGTGGGCACCATGAATCCTGTAGTGAGTGTGGGCACCATGAAGCCTGTAGTGGGTGTGGGCACCATGAAGCCTGTAGTGGGTGTGGGCACCACGAAGCCTGTAGTGGGTGGGGGCACCATGAAGCCTGTAGTGGGTGGGGCACCATGAAGCCTGTAGTGGGTGTGGGCACCATGAAGCCTGTAGTGGGTGGGGGCACCATGAAGCCTGTAGTGGGTGGGGCACCATGAAGCCTGTAGTGGGTGTGGGCACCATGAAGCCTGTAGTGAGTGTGGGCACCATGAATCCTGTAGTGAGTGTGGGCACCATGAAGCCTGTAGTGGGTGTGGGCACCATGAAGCCTGTAGTGGGTGTGGGCACCACGAAGCCTGTAGTGGGTGGGGGCACCATGAAGCCTGTAGTGGGTGGGGCACCATGAAGCCTGTAGTGGGTGTGGGCACCATGAAGCCTGTAGTGGGTGTGGGCACCATGAAGCCTGTAGTGGGTGGGGGCACCATGAAGCCTGTAGTGGGTGGGGGCACCATGAAGCCTGTAGTGGGTGGGGGCACCATGAAGCCTGTAGTGGGTGTGTGACCATGAAGCCTGTAGTGGGTGTGGGCACCATGAAGCCTGTAGTGGGTGTGGGCACCATGAAGCCTGTAGTGGGTGGGGGCACCATGAAGCCTGTAGTGGGTGGGACACCATGAAGCCTGTAGTGGGTGTGGGCACCATGAAGCCTGTAGTGGATGGGGGCACCATGAAGCCTGTAGTGGGTGGGGCACCATGAAGCCTGTAGTGGGTGGGGGCACCATGAAGCCTGTAGTGGGTGGGACACCATGAAGCCTGTAGTGGGTGGGGGCACCATGAAGCCTGTAGTGGGTGTGGGCACCATGAAGCCTGTAGTGGGTGGGGGCACCATGAAGCCTGTAGTGGGTGGGACACCATGAAACCTGTAGTGGGTGGGGGCACCATGAAGCCTGTAGTGGGTGTGGGCAGCATGAAGCCTGTAGTGGGTGTGGGCACCATGAAGCCTGTAGTGGGTGGGGCACCATGAAGCCTGTAGTGGGTGTGGGCACCATGAAGCCTGTAGTGGGTGTGGGCACAATGAAGCCTGTAGTGGGTGTGGGCACCATGAAGCCTGTAGTGAGGCACCATGAAGCCTGTAGTGGGTGTGGGCACCATGAAGCCTGTAGTGGGTGTGGGCACCATGAAGCCTGTAGTGGGTGGAGGCACCATGAAGCCTGTAGTGGGTGTGGGCACCATGAAGCCTGTAGTGAGGCACCATGAAGCCTGTAGTGGGTGTGGGCACCATGAAGCCTGTAGTGGGTGGGGGCACCATGAAGCCTGTAGTGGGTGTGGGCACCATGAAGCCTGTAGTGGGTGTGGGCACCATGAAGCCTGTAGTGGGTGTGGGCACCATGAAGCCTGTAGTGGGTGTGGGCACCATGAAGCCTGTAGTGGGTGGGGGCACCATGAAGCCTGTAGTGGGTG